GATGCAAGGCCAAAAGGCAGAGCTCTGAATTGCAGCACTTGACACTTGTGCCCAAATCGTAGAAATGGGTGTGATGACTCTGCTATGGGAATGCGAAGATATGCATCGGTATGGGGCCGGTAGTAGCCAGTCGTCCATGTAATGATTCATGCACAGGCCCAAGGAATGCAGATGAGATAAGGTACTGATGCAAGGCCAAAAGGCAGAGCTCTGAATTGCAGCACTTGACACTTGTGCCCAAATCGTAGAAATGGGTGGGATGACTCTGCTATGGGAATGCGAAGATATGCATCGGTAACAACAAACTTGGTCATCCAAAGTCTGGGTGAAAAATGCCAATCATAGGTTGAGAAAAGATTGCATCAAAAAACGAGTAGGATCCAAAATTTGATTGAGTGGAGACAGATCGATAATTGGACGCCAATCTCCGGTTTTCTTGGGGCCCCACAAAAAAGACGGGAATAAAATCCCGTAAGAATGAGATCAACCTTCTCTACTGCTATTTTGTCTAACAACTCTCTTATGGCCTGAGAACGAAGTTCCATTTGCCTCAGATCTATTGAAGTAGAAAAAACAACAGGTTGGGTGAATAATGGAGGTGGAGATATAAACTGAATGTCCAACCCTGAATCCAGAACATGGAATACCTATGGATCTGTGGTGAAGGAAATCCAGATGTTGAGAAATTGATGTAATCGTCCTCCCACAGGCTCCTCCAGCATATGGTAATCACTGATGCCATTGGCTGGTCTAAATTGTCCTTCATCGAGGCCAACCTTGCTAATGAAGGAGCTGGAAAAAGGGAGTCTAAATTCTCCCCAGCATGTCCAGAATCATTTACAGAAATTGTCTCAGAACCCCCTGGATAGATATCCGCGGTCCGCATATATGTCTTCATCTCATAGTGGATCATATCACAGAGAGCTTTGAATAAGAGTGACCCTCCCCTGACTGTTGACAAATGATAGATAACAGAGGTGGAATAGGGGAGGTCTGGTTAGCCTCCGTGATGGAAGCATTAACTCGGGAATTCATGCCCGCAAAACAGGGAATTTTTTTGTAATTAATGAAATTAAACAAAACTTTCACTGTAGAGAACAGAAATTGACGTCTAAAGTCACAACTGAAAAACATTAATAATTACAACACTCCTGTACAGAAACACATGCCAAATGCTTTGTCAAGAAAAAGTGATTACATTATCTGAATGAGGTGCTTATATTCAGTATCTGGATAGAGGTCGCATTGATTTTAGTGGAGAGCTTTGCAAATTAGATATTGCCATGGGTATTCAAGTGGAGTATAAAAGACTGGAGCAAGCAAGTTAAATACTTAGACGGGTAAAGAGGTAGAAACCTTGAAGATCAAGAAATAGCTAAAGTGACAGTGGATGGTAAGTATGTTTTGGAATACTGTGTTTAGTCTCAGGTCTAATAAAGGACATTGAATTGTTGAAAAGGGTTCAGAGGAGGGCTACTAGGAGGGATACCTGGGATGAATAGATTGTCGAATGAGAGTAATAGGGATGGTTAGTCTATGGAATGAGTTGCCTTCAGATGTGGTGAATGCAGTTAATTTAAGGGAGTTTAAGGAAAAGTTCAATATGTAATTGAATGATAAGAGCTTGCTTTGAGTTTTTTTTTTAAGTTGAATTTAGTGGATGGAATGACCTAGCTGGATCAACAGGTCCCTTGTTGTCTTTAAATTATACATAAAGCTGGACCTATAGCAAAAAGTACACAATTTATTCTTAATTTATTTATTATTCAAATTTCATGCCATTAACAGCCACACACATATCAATTTTTGGTATACTGTGCCATCAGGGTATTTTCTTTGTAACTGACATTAGAAATATGGTTGTTTAACTTTAAGAATATAATGTCTATTTTCCCTATGGGTCCAGACTTCTGAGACAAACTGTATATGTAAAGCAACATCTTGTGTTGAATTGGCCCATGACTTTGAATGTATTTAGCACATTCCAAGTTAGCAGTTTAAAACAAGTTCACAATTTTGTAAATATGAAATACATATATCATAAGAGAGTGAGGTATGTGGTACCTGCATACCACAACTGTAGCGTTTATCTTGATTGATTTGAACCAAAAACTTTATGCATTCAAACCTTTCTATGAGTGCACAATATTACACATATTTTCAAACTACCTATGACAGTTTTTAGATGGCTGAAATGTTCTAATAATAGAAAAATAACATACCAAGTAAGATAAGGATACACAAGGCAGCACGTAATTTAGCTACAGCAATTTTCCTTTCAGACTGGTTGGTTCTAAGTTCACTCTGTTGGCCACAGAAGATACTGTAGATAACTATGTTGAAAACAACTAAACTGACAACCACAACAATCCCAACAGGAATGATAAATGCTATATAGAAACCATAGGGAGCCAACCAACAACTGTAAAAAAAACAATAAAAAAACAAATTTTTATAACATCTAATTTCTAATTTCAAACATTTCACATGCAAAAAAATTCAGATTTTTGAAACTTTTACAGTTACATTGTGAACTGATAAAATCTTTGAAAATCCCTAAACCAGAATAAATAATTATATCTAAAATGTTAATATTTTCTATATATGTATATCTATACAAAAAGAAGGAAATATTTTATAGTTTCATTAATGTAAGTTCAAAAGTCACATAAGAATTATAAATAAAAAGTGTAAACATTTAATGATAATTCACTTACATGGTTTTTCCATAATAATATTGTTTGTAGTCAATGATGAAAACTAAAGACACAATCAGCAAAGGTATACCTAAACATAAAAGAAAAAAATAAGCTAAAATTATGTACACACAGGTAATTCAGTAACTTATCATAACAAGACACCTTATTTTCAACTCTCAAAAAATAAAAATAAACATTATTTTTCAAGAATTTGTTCAACATATATTTGCATTATCAATTAGAAAGATGGACAGAAGCAGGTTGTGATAAATACCAGATATTTGAACATTACCTCGTATTCACATATGCAGAAATGATTTAAAACTGAAGACAGCCTCTCAAAACAAAAAGTCATATCAGCTGCTGACAATAAAGTTATCTACCCACAAAAAAGAGACAACAAACATGTGATACATATGAATGAATTACTATATATATTGTTGCACAGCATTGAAAGAATACAACACTGCAAGCTTTTATATGCTTTAACAAAACGTACAAAACAATAAACCAGCACATTTATATTACAATTATGAAATCAACAACTATTTAAAATATTCTGATCTAAAGGAATATTTTAAATATGTTTTCTCCAAAACTGTTTGATGTATTAATAACGAATGTAATTTCTTTAAGAAGTCTGAATGAATTATTTGTTAAAGTTGAATCATCTGGCTTATTTAAATTTACAGTGTTGAGTATGTTTTATTAAAATGATTTTTAATATGAAAATCACCAAGTCACATGAAACCACAGGTAATTTTAAAGCTGCAGTGGAATAGAACGTATCAGATCTACATTTTGACAGTGTTTATCATTTCATAAGTAGTGTGTTGCTGTTAAAAATTGATCATATGCATTTAACAACCCTTCCTTATGCAAAATGTTCATACAATCAGATTATAAAAATGTGTTTAGATCAGGGATTTAGAATTTCCAAGGAGATATCCCATGTATTTAATGTCATTGGAAAACAAAGGAATATGGATCAAACTGTGTTACTAGGAGCACCCAGAAAGAGATCTGCAACAAGTCATACCTCAGTCATGGTAATCAAACTGCAGTGTCTTGTAATAAGTGGGAATTGATGAACACAAAGGTTATTGGCAAAAGCCATTCACATGTCTCAGGCAACAGTACACAACATAATAAAGGCAGATTTCATCATGAACATGAGGCCAATGGGTTATAGGTTAATCAAGATAAGGCATCCAGCCAAACTTTCCATTTAAATGTTGCATATCTTAATCAACTGGAGAATTAAACAGATATGCATACTATTCCATATGAAGACATACCAGTTAAGGTACTGAACTTTCTGTATAACTGATTGTTAAAAAAGGTTCTGGGAATTCAAAATCCTCATACACTAGCTGGTTTATGGAAAGCATGCAAGCAGGAGTTGTGTGTTTTAGACAAGGCAGCATTACAACACAACCTTCTCCAAGGAAAACTACGTTACTGGAAAATTTTTAAGACACACATTCATCAGATAGAGCATGATCAAATGTGGTGTCACTGACTGAAATGATGTGGTGAGGCCTTCAAATATAAATAAGAACAACTTAAGTATGTTTTATATGTTTATGCTACAATAAAGGTAATTGTTTTTAATATCCTTTATAAGTGATTTCATTTTTTTAAAATTAAGAATTCAAAAAGTATGCAATACTTCAATACAAATGTAAAGTGATCGATTTGCAGGCTGAAATGTACTTAGATATACAGACATGATTGTTTAGAGAAGGTATTCATACAATCATAAGACACAATTGCAGTAACTTTGAATGAGTTTACCCACGAGAATGATCAAAACAGGCTACTAAAGTACTTAAGGCTTGCACAATGATATATAAAAGCTGAAAATGTAGCCTTAGGGCTTATACATGTCTTGTAATCTCTCGAACTAGTTGATGGATACACTTTATGCATATTGACATCTAAAAACATGCTATAAAAATAACCGAGGGACTATAAGAATTTATGTACTTTTGTATTACTGAACAAGCATCCAATAGCTTAGTTATAGAAAAACTGACTGATAAATGAGAGTAAAAATCTTGTTTTGTTTGTTTGCTCATAATTTGGCATTCCTAATTTTGAACTGACAGAGTAGAGGAAAGACAGTTAGTAAACAGTACTTGTCACCAATTCCTGGACTACTCTTGTTTGATCAAGTAGTGGGATTTGATTGCTACTCTTATAGTGCACACACACAGTTCCAAAATGTGAAGCACGTTTTCTGTAGCGCAATGAGTCACGAACTATGAATTCTCAAAATTCCCCCTTTATGGCCGTGTTAACCATTAATCCATGTCTGGCCAAAGTCTTGCTCTTTGTATAGGAAAGATAAATATATAAGTGAATTAAGATTTTCATTAAAAATGTTTGGTACGACAGTATTTGTTTTTCTTTTTGGAAACAGAAAAGCATTTTCTTCACCAAGACCTCTGGGAACAATTAAAATGAATTCATGTCTTCAAAATATTAGATAATTTTTTTTAAATTTACCTTTCATTGATATTAGATTTATTAAATTTTATTGTTACTGTAAATCCTAAGAGAACAATCACATCATACTTGTTAACAATTATTTCTTATCTTGCAAGACATATTTTTGAAAACTGAAGGATACTCTTACTAATTTGTAAAATGTTTTACCACTCAGAAAAGAAAATACATTCCTGCAAGTAACTAGATTACCATTTTTTTGTATAGTATAATTTGAACCCTATAATAGCTATTACCTGCTTTACTGTGGCTCTAAGTTACTATTATATACTTGCTCTGCTGTGATACAGCTTTACTTACATATAGACATATATATACAAAATGAATATCTACTTAATATAGAATACAGGATTTATGAATATAATTATTATGAAATAATGTAAAACAGATTAGACTCATCACTAAGATGGATCTAATTAGATCCAGCACTGGTCTAATTGTCATTGAAAATTAATTATTTGCTAATGCATATATACTCAGACTTCATACTGTAGTATCTGTGGTGAAATAATGGTAACTAAGTATACAACTACACATGTCAAGAGGTTCAAAGATTTGGCTGGATGGAATGTTAATGTGAGAGTAAGTGCAGAAGAGAAGAAGTAAACAAGTTTCGTGAAAACAACTAAGTAATGGTTATTGCACATACAATTGTATTACATATCTTCCAAGTTGAGAATGCAAAATTAGGGTTAAAAAAACTGAATTTGCTTAAAATTAAAATTAAGTTACAATGAAATCTGCATGATCAGCAGTAAAAATAATGCCATACAAAAACACTAAGCTTTCAACAGTGGTTTCTGGCTATTTTAGATCAGATACACACTGCCTTCCTTGAAAGTTGGAATGAATCTCTCCAAAAGCACATTCCATCTGCAACTGACCAATCAAAATAAGGGGTGCCAAAATATGGGAATATCTCTGCTCCATGTAACAGCCACAAGATATTCTCCATACACAAGGCTAAGCGGAACACAGTGCAACTATCTCATGAAACAGCAGAAAAGTTCCTTGACTAGTTAAGAAACAAAAAGTAACACCTCAGGCAGCAATTTATTGCTTCACCTCAAACCAGATTTACAAAGTTCAAGAATCATAACTTATGAAAACTATAAACTCAGAAACATACCCAAAAAAGAGTAAGATGTGCAGCACCTGCATACTACAATACCATAGTAGATCACGATTTCTGCAGGTTTTTTCTACTTTGATTCATATTTATGTTAATTCTACTGAGCCAAATGTTTTGTATTACCATACAACCATTAGCTTTAAGAGAATTTTTATAACAGAATTATTATAGATATAGCAGTCCACAATTTATAATAATATTTATGATTTGAGAAGTAGATATATGGAAATTCATTTAAAGATAACATTTTCTTTATTTGAAAATGTATTTCCAATATATATACTCACCTTTTCACACAAAAAGCTGTCTTCCCTGTGCATATGCCTTAGAGATTTGCATACTACATCTTCAGGCAACTCCCACCTATACTCACAAGATTTCCCATGATTTGAGCTACTGCATAATGATGTTATTATGAAGCAAAAGCCCTTCATCAATAGGAGGTTGACACAACCTTCCTGTAAGCTAACTCCTTCTATGTTTTTGCCCTCCTGATCTTCATTCCATGATGAGGCAAGGAATATCAAGGTGCACTGGAAGTAGGGAGGAGGATAGTGGGAAGTGTGTGCATGGGAAACATATTTTCAGGTAAGGAAAGTGTTAACTTCTGAGGCAATACACACCACTTCACACAGAAAGCTATAATCCCACATTGATATGGTGGAGGGATCAGCATAAAAGTTACCTAGATGAGTTCCTTTCAGAAAGCACTCAAAGGAAATCCATGGAGTGTGACACCCAATGGCAGGGGCTTCAAAGGGGCACACTTGTGAAAGACTGCATCTTAACTCTTCTAGTTTACACTCTTTGCCCAGACTGGAGGAGAAGATGAGGCAAACAAGCCCCATGTGTCGCAAGTATAGGTATGCTCACCTCAACTTTACCGCCAGACTTATTGGACTGACACCCTGTACAGGAGGAGCACATGAATTAAGAGAGTGTGGTGTTCTCAACTCTACATCAGACTCTTGGACAGACACCAGCTGCAGGAAGAGCAAACAGAATACATGCCAGTGGTTTGTCTTGCCACAATTATACTGCCAGCCCCTTGGACCAACACCAGCTGCAGTAGGAGGGCAAGATATATTAGTGTGTGCTTGCCTCAATTCTACCATCAGACTCCGGAGCTGACACCAGCCATGGGAGGAGGGCATGGAAGTTATGACATAGAGTACATAATATAAAGAGTGCATGAATTCATTTGACTGGACAATCATCTGCTGCAGGAGGAGGGCACAATTTGACTGCAAGTGCACACCTCAACTCAACTGAACAAGAGTTGATTGCAAATAGTTGGTGGGTCAACTCCAGTCCAAAATCAGGCAGCATCAGGTATGAGTATGTGTCTTCCGGTCCACAGTAGGAGGAGGGTCCCATCCATCTTCACTTCATGACTAGGAAGTAGAAGGGAAAAGATCTTCCATTCCAACAAACCAGGCAGGGCACATGTGCGCAGACCCAGTTCACAACCAATACCAGGCCACCTGGGAACTCAAAATCCAGGCAACAATAGGAAGGAGGAATGCAAACATGGTGGGCCAACTCTGGTCCAAAACCTGGCAGCATTGGGAATTTTTCATCAGGTCCACAGTAAGAGATGGATCACAACCAAACACATGTGTGAGGACTTATGTGAGCTGGTTATATGCTGATCCAACAACATACCACCTGGGAACCAATATCTAAGCAGCAGTATGATGGAGAATGTTAGTATATTACTAGTATAAGTATATAAGGGGTGACCTGCACTACCTTGACAGTGTCACCACCACCCCACTTTTCACTAATTGGCATAATTTGGTCCCAATAAATGAAGATTCTCCATGGCCCACCACCCCAGTGGACTGCTAAGTGGTAAAGGTCTCTCTTGTTCCACTTGAAGAAAGGGGAGAGAAATTCACAGTGGGGAGACCTGGGGAAAATGCCCGAATCTTCATTGGTCCTGTTTCAGCAAGAAATGTCTTTTACTCAAGACAGTGCAACTGGGCAAATATCAGAATAGTCTGCAAGGATACCTCAAGTGGTCTTGCAGTACACCTCATTTCAACAGTGGGCATATATGAAGCCAGGGCAATGGTATAAGTGATTTCTATTATCTTGGTTTGATGTGAAATTTTGGGAAATAAGCGCACTCTGGGAGCCACCTTGAGATATTGTGGAAGCAAATGCTATAAACAAAGGGGTATGTACTCATCTGTCTAAAGATGGTGGGTAGATTGTAGGATGGTAAACAGAGGTAGGCAATGACCCCTAGAAGACTAGACAGACAGTTGGCTAATAAGGTATGTGAGGTAGTCCACATACCAGCTTGAATGATCTTGTCCAGAGGCAGATGGAAATGAGCTTTGAGAGAATGAGAGAGGGCACCACCTGTGAGCAATAACCTCAAAAGAAGAGAAGACCAAACAAAGATTGTGGCAGACCATACAAGTAAAGACAAAAGGAGATTTTTCCATGGAAAAAGCTCAAGGAATGTAGAATGGAAGATGGAAACCCTGAAGGTGAGAGGTACAAGCTAAATAGTAATGGATGGAATGAATAGGGAAGAAAAGTCTGTCTGGGTCCAAAGAAAATAGAAGAGTGAAATAGTAGGATGGGAGAGAGCAGAATAGTAGAGGTATCCCCACCAAATGGCTGAAGACAGGGAGGAAGAACCAGTTAGGAGATATAACAATATGAGGACAATGGAAAGTGCATGAGATGTGTCAGTAGCATAATGATGTGGACAATGGCAAACAGAATAAAAAAATAATATATCTGAAGAAAAGGTGGTAAAAGTTGCAGGTCCCCAATGGTTTGAATGGGCATGGGTAGGAGGGCATGGGATGACACTGAGGTACCAGTAGAGCACAGTAACAGGGACAAGTGGTTATGGATAAGGAAGGACCAGAATAAGGTGGAGGAAATACTTTGTGATTGCAAGTATGCAAATAGTGAAGAACAAGGCCACCCAATAACCAGCATAAAAAGGAGAAAGAAGAACCCTATAGAACAGCCTGAAAAGGTAAGGGAGAGGTCTAACAGTAGAATGGTTAGGAGGAAAGTGGTGACAAATAGACCAACAATGAAAGTCACACCTTTATACAGATAGAATGTCCAGGTAGAATGATGCCTGGAAGGGAAAAGATTACTATATGAGAAAGCCTGGTTCAAGAGTGATGGATAAGACAAAACCAAATGTGAAGGTGGTAGCACAGAAGTAGGCGGAAGACGTTGAAGCAATAGAGTGCAGAGTTGGAAGGTGAAGATGGCTGGGTTGTCTAGTTGCAAAGAAGAGAGAATCAAAGGTAAGCCAGCCAGAGGGTACCACCAAGAGAAAACAAAAAAAAGGTCTCTAGTCAAAGCCTGGACCAAAGGGAAAGGCCAGAAAGGTGGGTGAGCATGATAACAAGTAAAAGACCAGACCTAGAAGAGAATATAGCTCAGTATGTTAAAATAACGGCCTTAAAAACATATGAATTAGCTAATTTTGTTCAATTTCATATGTAACTATATTAAAAAGGAGTGAACTTACTTACCCCAAGCACATATCATAGCTTTGCACATAAATCTGGGGATGTATGTGCCCACAACCTTTACAAACCGTAGATACTGTAAAACAGCTTCAACCAACATCCATCCAAAGGAAACCATCAAGAAGTAGTGTAACAGCACAGCAGACAGCATACAAAGACCTTGTCCATGCTTTTTATTTATACCAATGAGAAAAATTACCAGAGACCCCAGCAAAGCTGCTGCTAAATTACATAAGGTCTGGTGACCAATTCCTTTTCTCCATTTCCTGTAAGAATTATCCTCATAAACAAATTTTTTCATTGTATCACACAGAAATTCATTGGCAAAATATAACTTCTTTCTTTAATTACTCATATAAAGCTTAACATCTTCAGCTGATGATCAGCTGCTTTTACTCTGTGTGCTAACTCAAGTCAGTTAGAGAATTTCTAAAAAAAAGAAATAATACATATATACATACACTGAATGTTTAAATGAAAATCCAACATAAAGGTTCTAAACATATGCATTCTCAAAATTATCTTGTTCTAAATTAATCATTCAGTTTGAATTTCATAAGACATTCTTTGCTAAACAAACTTTGCCTTTAGGGAATTAGTAAACAATAACAGTCATTAGGCACTACATTTTCAGGTAATAACAAATTGTGAAAATAATTTTTTGAATCCAAATACAGAAATATATATCACAAAACTTACTCAACAGAAATTGATTAATTATTTTCGTATTTTACATAACACATGGTCAAGAAAGCCATTAGTTTCCTTTTGTTGTAGCTACCTTTGTTCTTTATCGTTCTCTTGATATAACACCTGGTCTGCCTTCGGAGAAAAGACTGTAAGGTTACACCTTATGTATTAACGTAAACAGAAATGTCCTTAAATGGTAGATCAGGGGATGCTTCAAAATTACTACCTCCCTTATGTTTGAATAGGAATGCCCAGTCACATGGATAGTGTTAGTCACTATGGATAACTCTGACTTTACCACGTGAAGTAAGTAAATTAAGTTTAATCAGTTTTGTAAATATATGATCTCAACTGATACAATTTGGTGAGAAAACATCTTATAATCCAGTACAAACACCTACTCAGCATTCAAATTAAGTATACAAATTGTATTTGTTCATTTTGTCTTAATTTTATCCAGTCTATTTTATTCTCACAAACTCAGTCAATTTATGTATTAAACAAAGCTGTTTATTCTGCAGACCTATCTTGTCCCTCTGGGTAAAATCAGTTTTATCTATGAATACCACATAAACAGGTTTTTCAAAGTGATTGAAAATTTTCTGTTGTCATGCTATCAAAAAACAACAACAAAAAACAATACTGATCAACAAAATAAGTCCTGATGTGTGGTAATATCCTATACAACCCAAGTGGTGACAAACTGGCATGCCAGTTCAGTTGCTACAAATGCTAGTATATCTAAAAAAAATATTATTGTCTTGATTTTATCACAAAACTGCACATTTTTAGAGTTATTACCCCTGAAGCTTACTGACAAGCCACTGGGCAATTCATTTGAACAAACAGTTAATTACAATATTTATAAGCAGTGAAACCAGTTAAAAACCTCTTTAATACAGTTTTATTACATGAATAGTAAAGTTTCAGCCAATATGGATCAAGATTGAAAAGGAAACTTCAAATTCTCTCTCAGGTAAATGAAAAAACTCCTATACCAATATATTTCACTTCTTCAGAGAAACTTCAACTTCTCTCTCAGGTAAATGAAAAAACATCCTATACCAAGATATTTCACTTCTTCAGAGAAACTTCCTCATGTATTGTCTGAAGAAGTAAAACTTTTTGTATAGGATTTTTTTTTAGTTGCTTGACAGAAACTGATGTTTCCTCAGAGGATTTAAGCTCAAGTTCATTTTAAGAAGTGAAGACAACATAAATCTACAAATGTAAGTGCTATAAATGAGTTTCTCTATATTAGGTATTGTCAACATTTTTTTCATTAAATCTCACACTCTAGTGTAAGAGGTAGTCTATAAGTTGGTGAAGCATTCCATGGCACATTACTGAGTAGCAAATTGAGTTTGGTATCTAGAATGTTAAATGTTAGTATTATTCTATCCTGATGCCTTAAAAACTGTATATTGCCTAAAATACCCATTCTTCTACTTTAGTTTCAATTCCTAATATGATATTGTACACTATGAAGTGAATATTATGTCACAAAGCACTGCACAGAACAGGAAAAATAACATGTCTAGCAAAACACAAGCAATAAAAGAGATAATACTTTTGTCCACATGAATATAGTACAGAGAAAAGGTTTTAGTTAAAAAAAAGTCAAATTTACCTGAAAACAATGAATGTGAGAATTGTTAAGGCAAGTCCAAATATGGAAAGACTACAACCAAAATAGGTGATTATCTTCAAAGCAGTTTGATGCTCTTTCTCAAAGGAACTGTCTGGATCAACACTTTCCTATACATCCAGTTAAAAAATATACATCAGTTTACACAAGTAGGAATTATTCAAATAGATTTTTATCAGGAATTAAATCTGTTATTAAGTGACAAAATATTTATAAGCTGGTTTTGAAATGTATTCCAATAGGAATATATGTATGTATCATCAGGTTTTCAACAGAGATCAAATTATGGAACTATTTACCACTGGTTTCCAGTCTGATTTGAAAGTATATTTATTGATTATTTTCCAACTGTACTTAATTCTAGTAGCATATTTACAGTTAAAGAGTGATGATTTTAATAAAACTTATACAAATACTAGAATTTATTAGAATTAGTGTTTATAGTGAATGGTTCCACATAACTATTTATGCTTTAATTTCTATTTAACTAACAACTGTCACTGGTTTGTATACATACAATTCAAATATGGTTATGTACCAGCTAACCAATCAAGGTTTAATCATGACACTTATCTACTGTTTTAATTATATCCAGCTTAAAAAAAAAGTATAAACCCTGGATAAAACTAGCAACATAGTAGTTAAATTTTCAAACTACAAGGTGAAGAACATTTAAATAATATATTCAACTGGAAGGTCAGTCAGAGTCTCAAATACTTTTATAAAATAAAATATTATAAAAGGTAGTGCATGAGCAAAAAACAATATTGATTATTTACCCCCATTTAAACCATATAAAACATACTTGGATGGAATTCACTGTTGATGACTTAGTTGACAAGAGTGTCATAAACACTACGTACCTTACTCTCCTAGTGTATACTTCACATCTACAAAATTTTAAAACATATTAAATTCTTACTCTGGAACTTGCTAAATTTGGTTAAGGTAATGTGTTAAATTAACTGAAAAGTTACTTTCTATAGTTAATTTGGTCAGGGATGGTTACAATGTATTCTGTTTTATCTTGTGTAAAAACAGATATTTCAAAAGTCTGATCAGCTACGATGAGAATGTTCTTTGTATAAATATTTATATTTTCAGTTATTTGACTAGTATTTAATTGTTGTTTCCAGTTGTGAAGATCAGGTAACTGTGCTAGGTATAGCCTTAAAATTACCACAGAAGAGTAGGTGTTGAAGATGAAATGAAAAAGAAAAGACAGAGAGTGAAGTTGAAATAAAAATGAACACTTTATTAACTGAAGATTGAAAGTTAACCATTTTGTTGTGGACACTTGCAATGTAATGAAATTTAAGAGAAAAAACGAACTGTACTGTAAATAAAAAGGCAAATGAAAACAAACTGTACTGGTGGAAACATGGCAGATCAAGCACACACATTCAGCAACACAAGTACTATGAATACATCTGAAAACAGGGACAAGACTTAACAGGCAAGTCTTGGCTTTTCTAAATCAGTAGTGAATTTGTACAAAAATGCCAAACTGCATTTACGATTCACCATCTATCTGTATCTGATTAATAAGAAAATTGGATTGTAAACATTTAGAAGCATCTCTACTTCATTTGCTAGTTGTAGTCTGAAATATAATAGGTAAAGTAGGACATGATACAGCTATCCCTTGAAATTATAATTAACTTCTGTGATCAGACACTGTAACAGAAAGTAACACTTAAAGCTCACTGTAGCACTTGATCTTGACCATATTTAGTATTTTATAAAAAAATATATATATATAAAATTTATAAATGTGAAGTATATGCTATAACAGAATAAGATATGTGGTATTTGCATATCACAACTACAGTTTGTTATAATATAATATTTACTGTTATACATAAGTTAGAGATATTTTTTAAAAGCAAGACCAGACCTACACACCAAGGGCTCAACCTTTAAGTGTATACCCTACAGCTAGCTATATTGTAATGCACTTCAAACAGCATAAACTAGCTAAATTAATGACATCATCTGTCTTTCCCTCCATAATGTATTTCTTGTGTATTATGAAATATAATGCGTTAAACTAGACTTCTGATTCTTTGAACTACAAAAACTATTAACATTGCATGACAAGCTAGAATGCCTTTATTTTCAACAACAAATGTCAAATATTCTCTCTGTTGTACTACAGATGTCTCTCAAGCCTATAAACAGTGAATTATGTTGTTTTTCTATATTTTCGGATTTGTTTACTGCTGCCAGGTCCTCAAAAACACATATTTTTATAAAACTGCTGGGAAATGGGAAAATAATGAAAAGAAAAACATACCCCTTTAATTGCTCAGGCTTTGAGTATTCTATATTATTAAATCATACTGATGTATTGTCAAGTATTGTATCTCTTTTGTCACTCTAGTTCTGTATCAATATTTCATTGACCAGAAGCAAATACAGAACATTATAACTTCAGATCCTGAGTAATCTTAGGTGTTAAAGATAACTTAATTTTAAACAATCACAAGAACTAGAAGATAATTCTTATACTTTAACATACATTTTAAGTTAGAAAATTTCACTCAATTAATAAAAATTTACAAAACACCAGCTTAGAGATTTGTGTCCTAAAATACAAAAAATATTGTCTGAAATTCCCTAAAAGAAATAAACACAATGCCACATTATCAAGGTAAAAAAATAAACAATTATCATGAAATTGTTTATACAAATTTGAAATAACATATAAAGTCAGTTTGAAATATCAAGATACATACATAGACAGAAATAAAAATTAAGGCAGATAACAAAGGAGGGTTTTATATGATAAATGCAACAACAACAACAAAAATATCTGACATATCCATATTAATCAAGGGTAGTACTAAGATAATCTCTTTTTCATCATGGTTTTGGTGTGGCCTAGTGTTTAGCTCACCAGTCTATGGATATGAGGGTCAATGGTTTGCATACCATTGTCACAAAATCTTGCTTCACACTTGGGGGCTAGTGGTGCATTATTAGAGTGATGGTCAAACCCCACTTTTTAGTTACACTTAGGACAAGATCAGGAGTAAGAGGAATGTGAGTCCTGCAAAACTGAGATATATGGATGGTACCACAATAGGGGCAGAGAAGAGAAAACAGACAAGACTTTTTTAAATGGCTAAATATCTGGGATTTAAAACAACAAGGTGGATTTAAAATATATGGCTGAATACAACAATTTAAACACTTTACCTTTACATTAGCAAGGATTGTAGAGAAGAAAATTAAGAATAAGAAGCCTTATAGTGTCATATTTTCCATTCTTACAAATTGAAATGTGCTAGATGATTGTAAGACTCTGATATTTTATCTCATAAATATTACCTTTTCTCAAACGCTGATAAGATCAACTACAAAAATCACTCTACTGCAGGAGATCAGGGTGGTATGGGGAGTGATTTTAATGGTAATCCCTCCCTACCAAAGAGCTTTGGATAACAAAAGTAGAAATGCTCTTTGGTTTGGATATTTTAATGAAAATGCCCCCTTAACAAAGTTTCTTAAACGATAAAGAGGGACCAGCTAGCAACTCCAATCCCTTCTGAATTAAAAAAAAGGTGAATCTTAACCAAATAGTTGTCAGGTAATGAGTGGTGGATAAGAAGCCAAGGCACAAGTGGAGTAGTTGATGAAGCAGTCATCAATTCACAGTCTTTTTTATAGTTCATTATTCAATTTAGGTTTAAAAGTATCCATAACGAAAACAAAATATAGTGTCCATTGACCCTATTCACCATAGATTCCTACTAGGGAATGCGGTACACTGTCAAAAACTAAGCACCTTGAGGACAGTGCAGCAATTCTAGGGATCTGTGGACATTATATCCAAATACCATATATATAATGTCCATAACACCTATTGAGAATGTCTGACAACAGTAATCAGTTGACCCTAGGAGTCCATACTGTGGGACAAACTACAAATAAGAAATATATTATATATATATATATTAGTTGCTTTTACAAATACATATATTTTGGAAATTCCTATGACTCACAACAATTTGTTTGGCTACATTTTTATAAGCAAAAATAAAATAAAATATTGAAAAACACAGAGTCAAATGGATATGTTTTCATTCTATTATTGCCCCCCAGTAGCACAGCAGTATGTCTGCTGACTTACAATGCTAGAAACCAGTTTCGATACCCATGGTGGGCAGAGCACAGATAGCCCATTGTGTAAATTTGTGCTTGACTTCAAACAAACAAAAATCATTCTATTACCAGATATGACTAAACCTAATTTAACATTTAAACAGAATCCATATAATAACTTGAAAACTTAAAATAAAAAACTTTAAAGAGCTATTGTTTAGTGTTTTTTATGTGATAAACTGACTACCATTATGAGAAAATCATATTAGGTTTGCCTGTGGTTAATATAATGCAGTTATAAAAAAAATTACCTAAGCTAGATATTTGTGAATAAATTACAGAGTTACCATTGTAGTATGCAGGCATACCATGCATTTTCTACCTTCTTATTTTAAATGATCAATTTTCACATTTTTTTTGTTTATTTTGAGAAAATGCAGTTTCCACATAAAACATGATCCAGAAAACCATTAAGTTGACTTCATTCTACTGCCTTTATTCCTTTGTTATTCTCTAGAAATAATACCTGATTCTCTACCAGATAGGATATTGCTATAATGTTGCAACTTATGCAAGAATATCAATGACAGCAGTGTTCTTCACTGGTACAACAGATGATATCCACCACCAGTGCTGATTGATGAGGAACAATGAACCAGAAGAGGGGAAGCTCGGCTATGCTGTAGGTAGCAAAGGCATTGAAGTGAGGAGAACTCGGATGAGAGCAAAGCTATGGAAAAAGGTAAGGATTGAGAAACCACTTCATGGGAAATATCAGGTCAGGGCCTGATAGACAATCCACAACAAGGTTCAGGCTACCTGGAACATGAGAGGCCAATAGACAGACACAAAGATAATGACCTCAAAAAAAAAGGAGGTCAAGGGTTCAAAAATACAGACCAGAACAAGTGTTCCTCTGGCAATTAATGTAGAATAGCAAAGTGGAGTTGACCAAAATGATCATAACCAAAAAACCCTATACAATAGGCAGAAAATGATCCAAATTTATATTGGGGTCTGACACCACTTGATGTCATAAACCTTAAATTCCAAAAGAATCTATACACTTGCCCCAACATGTCAGGAAAGCAACTGTAAAAATATGAAGGTTTAAACTGGAGAGAGAAGGAGGAACACCCTCCATAGGAAGGGTCCTGTTGAGCCACCAGGTGAAAACTTCATACAGGTAAGGGACAGCAATACAAGTGATCCTGAGAGAGGTACAATTGACCCTGCAGAGTCCGATGTAAAAGATGCATGTGAGCATGTTAAATGGTACCATGAAAGCCCAAGACTCAAAAAGAGACAGAAACCCTCACACAGGCAGAGAAGGAGAGCAAAGAAAGCTGTGCTCTGCTGAGAGAAGAACTGCAAAACAAGCGCAAATGAACCTGATATTGGGCAGGTATGAAATGAGCTTTCTACAATTTGATTTGTTAACCCAGATGAGCCACCTCTCGAAGATAGAGAAGAGTAAGGCCAGGGGGAGTCCTATCAGGATGGAGATAAGAGATGGATATGTTAAAAAAAAATGCATGGGGTCAATACCAGGCCAAAAGAAGTACCTCAGAACTAATGAACCTGACCCTGAAAGACAAACCAAAAATAAAGTCTGGATGTTTGGAGAGATGCGAAAAAAAGCATTATAGACATATACCATGGTAATCTACAGCCTGAGAGAAAAAGAATTGTTCCCAAGTCCAAAGGACAGTCACAGACTAAACTATCAGCTCTGAAGTCCACAGAGAGAGTAAGAACAAATGGGAGAAGAGGAACAGGCTGAAGAGATATGGAGTAAAGAGCAGGTGGAGGGAACGGAAGACAGTAAGTAGAATAGAAGTTTCAGAGAGGTGGGAAAGCAAGGAAACATGGCATTCATCCACAGCTTGCAACATCAAAACCCCAACAGCAGAGGAAAGGAGCCAGACAAAGGTCTTTGAGGTAAAATGTACCTGGTTAAGAAGGGCATCACTCCCCAACAAATCTCAAAATCAGAGTAACCATGTGAGAAGGGACAAGGCAGCGAAAGAAGAACACACCAATGCAGAAAAGGAAGGGAATGAGTGTCCATTAAAAATCCCTGAGAAGAACAGTGAGTTGCCTCCAAAAGATGAATGGAGGATCGAAAATGTTTTGAGAGAAGAGAAAAGGCATGAAAATGGAGCCTGAGAAAGACTAACTGAAAAAATGGATTGGAGCTCCAAGCCTAAAGAAAAGACTCGAGGATTAGGAAGTCCAAGAAATGAAATACGGTCTTAATGTAAGCTAAGGCATAAGTGTCAACCATCTGGGGAGGACAAGGGATTTTGGTGCCATAACAAAGATAATCTGCAAGTCACTGTCATGACTGTGTATAAACGTCAGCAATTTACATTGTTAAACCCTATCTGCAATCAACAATATTATTTAAATGCATGAAACACATAGGCAGCTTTCTATACTTAATGACAAACACATGTACACAGTTAGTTAGTATTTTAAATACATGACACACTAATAGTAAACTGCAGCTGGCCTGTGATGATTGATCATGTGGTTGACCTATCTCAATACATTTACAAGGTTGACCTCGTAGCTATGAATAGATTCCATTCACTAAGCTTGTCACCTGTAGCCTAACTTTATTTGTAATGTAGCTCTGTGTACAAAGTGTAGTACATGCTGGATATAGACTGGCTGATGATTCAGATTAGAATTTAAAGTTCCTTAAATATACGAGTAAGATGAAAACAAAGAACTTATGAAATATGCCATTATATTTAGGCCTATTTTATAGGTAATTTACAAAACTACATGAAATTGTTACATTACAAAAAAAACATTCTCTGGTTGGCTGTTATTATCTGGGAAGACTATTTTTTTCCTGAGAATTACTCCAATGTTAAAGTTCTGAAAAGGCAGGGAGTTCTATTTTACATAGGTAAAGAGCTTTTTTCAGGACATATAAGATCCTGAAATGGAAAGCATAATATATATAGACAGATGCAGGTAATCCATAGGTGTTTATGATATGCACCAATTGAAGACAAATATTCTCACAAATAAAAAGAAATTTGATGGGTCAGAGGTTCCTGAGAAATTAATGTATCTTTTTATTTGACAAAAACTAATCTGTATTTCAAATATCAACTAGACATCTAACATCATGATAGAAAGTAGCACAATATGATCTTTCACAAAAATTAATTACCATAAAAATTACTCCAAAATGTGTCAGGTGGTCACACAGGCAGGTCAATATATTACTCTTTTTCTCACCAAGTTGACATCCCTTAGTGCTCCAGCTTCCACTGTTGTCATTAGATCTTTGGTCCCAGTACACACATTGTAATGTTTTTTTATCTATTGTGTTGAACTCCTAAAAGAAAATACCAAAAATTACTCATGGTATGAATTATACTGTGACTAACTGAAAGTTTAATTATTTGATCAAAAATAGTTACCTCTGAAAGATTAAAAACAATCCTAATAGGATCATCTAGATCATATATAGGACCAATTTCAATGTTTCCTCCAATTACTGGGCCTACTGCATTGCCTTTGCAAGTAGAACAACTAGAAGAAAAGAGCTTTCCATTCTTATATACAGTAAATTTAAGTGAGACTGTTGTTCCAAATTTTTTAGACAGTCTATGGTTCTGTATGATGGCTGGTGTTATGTCAATACCAGCTATAATATCCAAAGCAGGAAATTCATCTCTGTATTTGACTGGTTGCAAAGAGTTTTTATATTTAGCTGAGGAAATTGAGAACAGCTGAATTCCAACTTGAATCTCTTCAGCAGGTTGAAACTGATGATTTACACTTCTTGACACTGCTACTTGCTTTAGGGATAGTGAGACATTAGCTTGTGTTCTGTTTAACATCTTCTCTAAAGCATAGACAATCCTACAAAAGGAAAAAATTAAGGAAAAATGGTATATTTTTGCATCAATTAAACTTTAAACTTCTGTTGACACTCAACTATAAAATAAAGACTTAGAAAGATTATCAGATAAACAAATATGTGGAACAAATAATATAAAGAAAGGGCACATTTGTGTAAAATAATTTTCATATTAAGTCTCTCTATTCTATCTCTGACATCTAGATAACATTTTGTTTTCACTGAAACATTTCTGAACACCAATAAATCATCTCCTCATCAGAAACAAAGTAATTGTTTCTTATGGTCCAGATTCTTGAAAGGGAAACACTATCAACTTGTAAAAGAAACTGGTTAAAGATAAGTATTTTTCCCCATATTCCTAAACAAAGAGCAGTTGTATCAAAAGATTATCTTGGTAAAGAAAGTATTCTCTTACAGAACTATTAAATGATGCTACTAACCCCTCTAAGTTATTTGATTACCTAGATTATGGAAATTGCAAACAAAAAATGAAAAACTCCTTCAACTAGTATACTTAAAATACACAACAAAAATACTTTAATAGCTTCAGCAGTCACTAGGTGTCAAGATTCTTGCATATCCCTGACATATGAATATGAAGAGCATAACGATTTTTACTTTATTATCCATGATATTTAATCACACTGAAATACAATTTATTGTACTTTTATATATTTACATAAACCTTCCTCATATTTATTCTCAGGACAGATTTTTAAAAATTGCTTGAACAAAACTCTTCTATAGTGAACCAACATACATTGTTCTCTTGAGAATTGGATAACTGTTTATGTTCTTTTAAAAACAGTAACCAAAAACCACTGGGTACTGACATCCAAGTGGGGGTAGGAAAGAGGATCATACCATTGGCAAGTCAACTACTATCCAAAACCCAACCATCTGGTGGGGGTAGGAAAGAGGAACATACTGTCTTCACCTCAAGTTCATAAGACTGGAGGGAATCTCCTACCCCCAGATCTATGAACAGGCACATGTTGTTGTTTTATAAAAATGTGAGAAATTGAATGATTGATCAGGAAAGCCAACATCTGGTATTGAAAAGATGTCTGTGTAATGGAAGTTATTTCACTCAGGAAGTGCCCCAAGCACAGGAACATCCTCTGAATAATAATCATCGAGGGATAGCAGAAGGGAAAGAACCATAGTAAGCTGCAAGTACTTCCACCATGACCCACGGCCCATTACATGGATGAAATAGCAAGAGTAGAAATGAATGAGGGAATATAGATATCTGTAATACATGTGTGAGGACTTATGTTGATTGGTTCAACTCTAAATCCAAAACCTAGCTACTGGGAACCAACATCTACATGAGGGTAGGAAGAAGGATCCCAATTGAAGGAGTGAACTGCAATTTTGATGGCTTACTCTCATGTTACATAGTGAAGGATATCTTGTTATCTACCCTAGCAGAACACCACCGTCATACTATCAACTGTATGGTTTTATAATCATTTATATATATCATTTGTATTTCATTATCACATTCAGAAGGATGCCTTCATGGTCCACCACTCCAGTGGCTTGGAACTGGAAAGTGGTAAAGACCTTCAGACTCCACTAGAAGAAAAGGGGGTACAAAGTGTGGTGGATAGTGTAGAGGAACAACAACACCTGAGACAGTGCAATGGGTAACCAGGAAAACCTATTTTGAAAAGCAGACCATTCTGATTTATTCAGTAGAAAGCATGACAGGGATAGGCATGGTCCACAATGGGCAAACTTATTGCAAGGATAAACCTGCAAGAGATCTTGTGAAATACCCCATCTGTATAGTGTGCGTTGCATGGCCATGGAATTATAATGGTTAAGTCATCATGGCCTTACAGTGCGGCTTTTACTAGTTTAAGTATACTTGGACAGGCACCACTCACCACAGAGTGGGTTCCATAAAGAAAAAGAGATAGATGCCCCTGAAAGTAATTCCATTTTGGAATAACTCAAAAAGTTGTATAATAAAGAGTAAACGTGTTGAGAGAAATTAATACAAAGATATGGAAATATAGTAAAATTATAGACTTGAAGAGAGCATAAACTAAATGTTAGAACACAAGTAGTGCCAAACGAGAAGTGATATTTCAGTAGAATTGAATAGAGGGAGTCACAAGCATCAAGAGAGTGTGTCGCACTCTTATCGGTGGAGGTTTTTCATATGATGATTCACCTGCAAGATGCACTGGAATCAGTCTTTTGCAGATTTGGGAGATTCAAGGCTTGTGGCACGCACAAAAATTTTGATTGTATATAGAGGGCAGCACTAAACGAGAATAGCTATTTATGTGAGAGGAGGTAATGTATCACAAATAGTAGTTAGTTTTTTATTTAAAGTATTTTTCCACCAAGTGTATACACATTATATTATTATGACATGAGATCAGTGTAACCATACACCAAACAATATTTATTACTGAATTAGTTTAGTGATAACATGTCACCAGATACGGCCAATAAGTATACATTTCACCACTATCATTAGAGAAGGTAAAATGTTAGATAAATTTTGTGTTTAAGTATGATTTTATGATAAAAAAAACTTACATGCTGGTAGCATTTATTTTTCTCTGGGAAGATTCTAATATTGATTCTTCAATTTCTAGAATGTTATCAGTGGCATGAACAATGCTGTGTAAAGTCTAGAACATAAAATAATCTATATTATACAATAAAACTTTCTTAAATGAAGGTTCATTAGTATATAGTATAATTTCTTAAAGAAATCTTTAAACCTCAAATTATCCTGCTTTTTAATGACTTGTTAAGTATAAAACGTTGAATGATAAAAAATTATGTAATCAACAATCTTGATTTTGTCAAGAGAAATTGTACTTTTTCTTCAAATATATGAATGCATATCATGTATTTCAGAAAAATTAATACATAAAAATGAAGATTATTCTATATTTTTAAAATAAGAACACTTACAGAAACATTCACGGTGTTTATAAATGAAATTTTTTCCATTATTCTTGCAACATAGTAGACATCAAGAGCTTGAAATATAGTATGGTTCTCTGTCAAGTTTTTCATGTTACTAGACACATTAAAAGCATTATCTTTTTTTACTTCAACCTGGAAAGAAAAAAAAAGAAACATGCTTGTCATTACTTCAACCAATTAACAAATTGCCAGACTCCAAAAACTCAAAATGTCAGTAATTTAATCAAGAAAAGATAATTGTTAATAAAAGTTCACTTCTACTGCTGAATATATATTCTTTAAAAGAAAAAGAACTGATACAGAGATTTAAAAGTATTTTGCTTTACAAGAACAATTTTCATAAAATAAAATAGGCAACATGTTTAGCATCTATGTATTTGGTTTATGTTTCTAACCACTGAGTAGCGCAACGCCACCCTAGTAAGACTAGTAAATGAAGGATTATGTTGCAGCTCTTTCTGAAGAAGGATATTTGAATAGTGAAATGTTAACTAATGTAGAGCCAATCAACACAATCAACAATATGGCACTGATGCACTAAACCTTATGTTCAGTAAAACACAGAACACCACTTGTGTACATAATGATATAGTGATTTACTTTCCCACATTCACTTCTGCAGCTCACTGTTCTGGGGTCTGGTCTGAGAGACATCGAATAATTCTCCCATGGAACATCAGTCTGCTGATTGCACAGGTAAAACTGACCAATAAGCTCTACAGTATGTCCATTGGAAAAATGTCATTGTCAGGAGCTCACTGATAACTACCCTCATTATTTGAACAATGCCTCCTGTATATAGTCAGAGAGCCACCTCTCCATTAATGTATTATTTATCTCCTATAATCAGAACAGAGTTTGTGCTGATTAACCCAAATGGCAGTTTTGCTCGGAGTGTTTGACACACCATGGGGTCTACCAGTTTTCTGGCCACTTCTATATAAACCAGAAACTCTATTTCTCATCCTTGTATTCTGACAGACATATAGCAAGACCCACACAGGCCTTACAGAGTTGGGCTGACCACAAAACATTTTGGTGCAAGCTACCCATTGCACCCTCCCCCTCCATCACCAAGATGGTGGTCAGGCCTGGTTTGAGTTCTATTAGTTTCCTAGAGCTATAGATAACCTGAAAAACCTTACTGCTCAACAAGATAAGAATTCACTCAAAAAATGACCCAACACTCCACAGGCAAAGCAAATACTTTGCTCTTTCCACACAGGATAATGTTTGGGTGGAGGCATCAGTGGCATAGGCTGAGTTATATAAAATATGGTACAAACTGGGTAACCCTACCCTTTCACTGGATGCTAGTGTGGTTGCATCACAGTGCCAAGGTGTGTGGTTGGTTGGTTAGTATTTGGCTGCACCTGAGCTTGACAAAACATGGGTGCTTTGATAGGGCAGTCTGTCTGAGATACAGTCACTGCAAGTTTTTTCCTCTCTTGTGAGTCGGCAATGATGGGTAAAGTAACGAAAAAATTTACTTAGTTAAAGTACTGTTACTTTAGAAAATATTCACTCAAGTAAAAAGTACTGAATATACATAGTAATTAAGTAGCAATAAAAAATAAGTAATAATAGCATTATTAAAAATAGCATACATTCAACTTAAATTTACATGTAAAAGGCACTAACAAATATAAACTCAACAAACTTTATTTTTATTACAACAATCAGTATTACTGTCTATGGTACAGCTCTTCATGCACATCACTTATTATTTAGCTTCAGCAGTAGCTGATTTTCAAAGTTTTTACTAGACAGATTAGGTAGTCTTGGTGTGAACAATGGCCCTTCAGAACTAAACAAATGCTTGCATACTACAACTTCACTGAATTTCCCACTATTGTTTTGAGTGAAAATATGTCTTTTAAGTATGGCCATGGATGATTATTTGTGTCAGACATGATGGTCACAGTGAGACAAAGTTATCACAGTCAACACTAAATGTAAAAATGGCTGTGTTCTGTTCCTGCTCAGCAGCACAGGAAATATCACTGCTTGTGACTGTCTTATTTGAAACAGTAGGCGTGCTCTGACGTAAACAAAAATTATCACCCTGGCAACCAATGTGATTTTCTCCAATTTTTTTCAAATGTAACAACAGTTTTATAAAAGAAATGTAGTGAAGTAAAAGTAGATAATTTCTTCTTGCTTTTACTTAAGTAAAAGTAAAATATTTTTAGAGTACTTTGAACTCACTTAATTTATCCATTGAACTCACTTAATTTATCTCAAATTCATTATTGAAATCAATGCAATGAAAAAGCTAATGATTGTTTTCTCTCTATAAGTCTAGTAAACTTTCCTGACTTAAGTCGTTTAGGGCTAAGCTGACTTTACTGAGTGTTCCTCTACAGGATCCATCAACAGGTCTCCATGAAGCACCCACAATGAAATCTCCCTTACATTTTCGAACTACAGGATCACCATTTTCTACAGAGATACAGACAGATATAGATCACAATATATAATTAATGAAACTATGTTTTTATTAATGGGTTGTATTCAGAAGCTTCTCAAATTTCACTCGAGTTTGAAATCCTCAGAATTTATAGTTCTTTATGAATATTCTCTACAGTTTTGAGAATATCTTATAAAACAAAAACACTTCTGTATAAATAAGCTTTTAAACTATATTTATTTCTATACACAAATAATCTAACTTAAATATATCTAGAAAAAAGGCTGATTCAGAATCAGCACATACTTGTTTATTAGTGATAAGTATTTTCACAACTAAATTTTCAAAGTGATAAAGATAAGAAACATATTTTGTAAAAAATCTTTAAGTACCATTTACTATTCAAATTACCTACAAGCATAAAGTGCTGTAGTAAGCAAACACTATGTACTTTAATCTCCTACTGTCTGCTTCATATATACAAAATTTTAAAATTCTCCTAAATTCCAATCTGCAACATCCTAAATCATACTGAAGTCACATGTCAAATTTGTCATGAGGTGTTATTTTTTTATAGTATGACCCCTCAAGGAACTTATCTAGTGTTTCATGGGAAAGTTACATTATGTCTTACCATTGTGTGACTGTTATAAGAAGCAGAGATATTTCTACATTACAGTACCAGTTTTCCAATTGGTCACCTATAGAGAGAATGTGCATTACAAATGAGGTTTTGGCACTTTTGAAGCATATTCATTATGACTTTGGATAAAACAGGATTTGTGTCTGACTTGAGAAAGATAAAAGTTGCTTGCTATGTCCACTATGTGTTCCAAACTTGTCTTGGTTTTACTGATCATAGCCACTTCGTTTTACTTTCCATTTATTTTCCCAGTTGAGTTTGTCTTGTTTTACCACTACTATATCTTGCCTGTTTTACTTTACCTGCAACAAATCATTAAACCTCCTTCCACATACTAGATCCTCAAATTATAGTTTTGGAGATCAAGCACCTGTGTGTGAGATTTAACCTTCAGATTACCACAGTGCTAAACAAATGTATTTTATAGATTTAGAAACAAGTTCCTGTTTCATTTACTGTGGAAGAACTACCTAACAAACGTTTATAAAAACCTGAATAACTTGCACATGCCCCCCAATGGCACAGCACTATGTCTGCGGACTTACAACGCTAGAAACTGGGTTTCGATACCCGTGGTGGGCAGAGCACAGATAGCCCATTGTGTAGCTTTGTGCATAATTCCAAACAAACAATAAATTGCACAGTGTCTGAGTAACCAGTTTCACTTCCAGGAAAAATGTTGAGCTTTATCAAAAATTGGTATTCTACACATATCCATAAGATTGACTGGTTGGACTTGTAGGATCAGTTCAATGGAAGAAGGAAGTATTTTTGGAATGGATGGTTTACATTTAAATAGGATTGGGGCTGGTTTGGTTGCTAAGGCTATTAACTCAGCTGTAAAGGAAATTTTAAACTAGGATTAGATAGTGGTGAGGGCCAGGATAAACTAAATGCAAAAGGAATAAGAGGCAGAAAATAGTTTAGATTAGGAAATGAGTATAGAAGTAGTTATAAGGGTAGGCTTAACTGTTACTATTGTAATGCTAGAAGTATAAGAAATAAAATAGATGACTTTAGAGCACTGGTAGGAATGGAGGACTTTGATATAATGGGAATAACTGAAACATGGTTAAAATACAGGGTTACAGGCTATTTAATAGGGATAGAGTACTAAAGAGAGGGGGAAAAGCAGTTTTATATGTAAAATGTGAGTTACATTCTGTTGAAGTTGAGGATATCAAAGATAATAGCAAGAAGATTGAATCAATTTGGGTTTCTATTAGTGGATATAAAGGGGAAAGGTTTTAGTGGGAATTTGTTACAGAACACCAGATGATACTGATGAAATTGGTAAGATATTTTACAATTAGATTAAGATTTCAGCTGTTAATGAAGTCATAATTATGGTTGGTTTTAATTTCAGGCATATAGATTGGGAAATGCTAGAGTCAAACCATGATAGAGAAAGATTTTTGGAAACTGTTCAAGATGACTTTCTTCACCAATTAGTCAAGGAACCTACTAGAAACAATGCTATTTTAGAGTTATTGTTAACCTTGAATATAGAAATCATCGAGATGGTGGAAATTTGGGAACATTTGGGTGCAAGTGATCATTTCTGTATTAGGTTCAATGTTTTGCTACATATGGAGATAAGAAATAATGTATGATATCATAATTTGAATTATAAGTATAATTTGAATGGGAATAACCTTAATAGTGTCATGAAAGAAAGGAATCTTGGTGTAATAGTTGATCAGTCTCTTAAGCCATCCAAGCAGTGTGTTGTTGCTAGTGGTAAGGCAAATAGGATTTTAGGTTGTATCTACAGAAATATTGAATACAAGTCTAAAGAGGTTATAATTTCAATGTATAGGTTAGGCCACATTTGTATTCAGTCTTGAGCTCCTTACCTTAGGAATGGCATTGAATTGTTGGAAAGGGTTCAAACGAGGGTTACTAGAATGGTGCCTGAAATGGAGGGGTTGTCATATGAGGAGAGGTGGAGATTTCTCAAACTGTTTTCTCTTAAATCTGAATGGTTGTAAAGGAGATTGATGGTGTTGATAAATCATCTTTTTTCATACTTAACAGTGAGAACAGTAGGACTAGGGGACACAAATAAAAACCTTGGCAGAGTAGGAGTCATCTTCAGCTAAGAGAGATATATTTTTCTAACAGGGGTGGTTGACCTTTGGAATAGGTTGCCTTCGGATGTTGTGGAGTAAGTAAATTTATCTGCGGACTTACAATGCTAGAAACCGGGTTTCGATACCCATGGTGGGCAGAGCACAGATAGTCCATTGTGTAGCTTTGTGCTTAACTTCAAACAAAACAAAACAATTCTTTCTCTTAAACTCACACATACCACTGTGCCACTGGGGGCCTCTTTTACTAACAAATAGTGGGATTTACTATCACATTATAACGCCCCACGGCTGAAAGGGGCGAGCATGTTTGGTGTGACGGGGATTCAAACCCACGACCCACAGATTGTGAGTCGAGCGCCCAAACCACCTGGCCATGCCAGGCCTAAGAGAAAGAAAGCTTGATAAGTACATGTATATGAAGGATAAGGACCGGCATTAAGATTTTTTTAAATTTAATTATTAATAGTTTTAGTTTAGTTTAGAGGATGGGACAGCCAAGATGGACCAATAGGTCCCTTGTTGTCCCAAAACATTATGTTATGTTGTTTTACCATCTGATAATGTCATGTTAATGTGGTAAAACTCTGTTACATTCTATACTTTTTTATTCATAACCTCGTTTTTGTCATTTTTAATTCTCTTTAATGAGTTCTCTTTTTGGCCAAAATATGCTATGCTTATTTTCTCAACCTCTTTTGACAAAGAATGACTTTATGGCTCCATGCTGGGTTCTTTATCAGCTTGAAATATCTTCCAATATAAAAGAAAACAGAGAGACAGAAACCACTCTTAACTGCTGTCGAGAACAAGCTATCAGTGTATTATCTATACTGCAAGTAGTTATATCCCTTAATTAGAACATATAAAAATATTTCTACAGATGAGCTTATTTTCTAGTAATTTGCTTGTAAAACAGTAATAGTATGTTTACTTTCAATGCAGGGTTCCTTGGGAATAACAGAAGCTCCAACTTGGGTGTGAGGCCATGTCAGATTGGTCCCGCTCACTGTATCAAATGTCACATCCTGGAAACATCTCACTGAAAAAAAAAAAGTTTTCTTACATCAATTAGACATTTAATTCCTTATTAACAAAAAACATGGAAGTAACAAGTTTCAGCACTAAAATATATACTGAACTTTTACATATTTTGTATTATATGGGTCTATATGAATAGATAATAAAAATTAAACTCTGTAAACATTACTTACTTGCTTCCAACGTCAATGTTTTTAGAAATAAGTTTCAGCAACATAGTGTGCAGATGTAAATTACAATTATATATTAAAAAATTACAATGAAGTATGTGAACATTTTATTTATATGGAACCCAAGACCCATTAAGTTTCGCAGTTCGCTGTCGGTCATATGAACTTTTCTAATGTAAATAATTTTAACTCACAACAGAATTACTTATATGAAAGCAAAGTATCATAATTAGAAATATTACTAGTATTAAAACTTACATGTACTTCTGACAATCACACTGTCTTTCCTTATCTTAAGATATTCACATTCCCTATTTTGCAACAAATTTTTAACTATCATGACTGTTTTTTCTTCTCCACTTGCAGTTTCTTCAGAAATGGTTGTACTTTTTCGACCATATATGTTGAAAATTACCTTTGTGGAATTCCTGTCAATAATATGAGAAATAAATAATAACACAACTTATTAGTAAACAATATCTAACTGTGATAGTTATTTGATATCTTAAACCATCCATAACAACAAATAATATTTTTTTCACATTATAAATAACAGAAAAAAATTGATTGCTATAGTTTAAACTGAATTCACCAACCCTTCATTGAAGGAAAATATATTGAGCAGCTGGTGCAGTGTAGTATGTATATACTACATATCTCCCCCATATTATACATATTTCATATTTACAAAAACTTGAACTTTTACTAAGTTCTATGTTGGAACATACTAAGGTCATGTGCTAATTTCAGCCATAGCTGTTACCTTCTGAAGCTGGGTATGATCATAGAAGATTTCTACTGTTTCAAGACATAACTATATAGTGTTCTACTTTACCTCTTGTATAGAGGACTGCTTTACAGTTGTCACAAGAAGTGGAAATAATATCAGATTCTTGTGGTCATCTTTCTGTTTGGTCAGCTACAGAAAGAAGGTGAACTGTTGAAGCAGTTTTAGTATTTTCAATCAGATTTTTGCTGATCTTGAGAAAGCCACAAGTTGCTGTAGAAATATCATCCTTATATCTGCAATCTTCATTTTGCTTATTGTATGTGTTTTATTTTCCTTAATTTGCTTTCCACTAATGTATATTTTCATCTAATCCTTTAATTAAATATAGTAACCCATTTATTTTACTTGAATTGTCATATTACAAATGCTAAATAATCAGCTAGATGTTATCTTCAATATGTGAAACTGCTCTATGAATACACATGGAGCAGAGATACTTCTGGATTCTTATAATTTACTTTCATGTTTGGTCTACTAAAGAAAAAAGTGAGCTGTAATTCTAGCATTTTCTACAGATTCAATTTGTTTCTGTTCTGAGAGAATCATGGCTTGCTTGTGATGTGTCATTCACATTTCATTAATCTAGTTTTCTGACTATTGCATTCTAATTTTTTTATTGTCATTCATTTCATCATCAAATAAAGCCTATTTTTAATTTATCCTTTGTTAAATAGCTTTCCTTTATCTTTTTATTCATTAAAATTCATATTTTTATTTCTTTTTTACTTTCATCACATCACATCTACCATCAGACAAACAGCCTTTTAAGTTTTTTTTACAAATAAAATGATTATTTTATTTTAACTTCAACATTGTATCTTGTATATTTTATTCCACTTCTTAAAACCACTATATCTATCTTTCCACATACTACATCCTCAAATATCTTGTTGTTTTTGATATCAGGTAATTGTATGGTAGGTTTATCCTTGAAATTACTATTCAGGTACATGAGATGAATTCCATTGCAAAAAATATTCAATTATAATGTACCATGAGTGACTATATGAAAAGCATAAAACACAGAGAAAATATATGAAATACTACTGTGCTATTCATGAAAAAATAAATTGCAAGCAGTTGAGCAAGGTAGATTATATAAATATATGGTTTTAAAAGACACTAAGAGCGGTTGAACATTGTAGGTGAATTCTAAGATTAAAGTAATGTGAGCGTTAATCTCAGAGTTCACCTAAAAATTGTAACCACTCTTAGTGTCTCCTTAAAGCATATATTATATATACTCTATCTTTATATAATCTCTCTCTATATATATATAGAATGTGTATTGTACCCGCTACTGTTTATTATCTATATGAACAGAATAACCAAACAAGCTAACCTAACTTTAGTGTAAAAAAATATAACAGCAACAGACTTCAGGAACACAAATACTAAATGAAGCCAGTAAGGAATATGGAATGA